TTTGGATTCATACCCGTAGGATCCGAAGTTTGGGTTTCGAATTTGGACCGGATATATTCCCATTATGTGGAAAGGTTTTAATGATAGAAATTTCCGAAAGTCATATAATGCAATGGCCAAAAGTTAATTTAATAGTTCATTTGTTTTCAAAGATAGAGAGTGAGGGGGATTGAGTGGAATTTTCTAGATGAAGAGACAAGACGATGGTTCTGGACTTTGAATATCCAAGGGGAGAGAGAAGTCAAAGTCGTATAATGCATTCACGCCAGAGCGTAGTATAGATTTATTCCCTCAAGCAAAAGGGCTACTTGGAAGCATTTTTTTTATTTCAAAATTTGGGAGCCATTTTAGTATATGCACTTGACTAGTTTGAAAGAAAAAGAGTGGAGTTTAGAATGTTGTCCTTTTGAAGATATGATATTTAATAGAGTAGAATGGAGAATCAAGATTCCTATAGCATATTTCAACTTCAAATAATTGGAAAAAAGTTAAAATGTTGATGACGACGATGATGATATATGTATGCAAATAAAAAAAAAAAAGTATATATAAAAAGTTTTGTTACATATGCATGTAAAATTGATTCAAATTCGTAGACATGAGACAACAAAAGTGTAGGGATCTAGACCATCTTAAATGCATTAAGAGTGAGAATCAAAACAGTTACAAGATGAGCTATCATGGTGCATGTTGTTCGTAGATGACATTGTTTTGATCGATGAGACCCAAACTAACGTCAACACAAAGTTAGAACTTTGGAACAATGATCTAGAATCTACAAGTTTTAAAATTAACTAAATTAAGACAAAGTATATAGAATGCAAATTTAGCAATAATAGGAGTTGAGAAGATGAAGTAGTTAAGATTGACAGTCAGGAAATACCAAAAAGAGCTACACTTAAGATATTTAAGTTGATAATTCAAAAAAATGGAGAGATTGAAGGAGATGTTGTACATAGAATTAACTCTGGGTAAGCAAAGTAGAGATGCGCAATTGAAATTCTATATGATTGCTTCATAGTAATAAAGCTGAAGGGTAAGTTCTATAAGACAGTTGTAAGACCGTCTTTGTTCTATAGTGCAGAATATTGGGCAGTCAAAAAACAATATACCCATAGAATGAGTGTAGCGATGATGATTACGTTAAGATGGATGAGTAGTAAGATAAGAAGGGATAGAATTCAAAATGAATACCAATAGACAATAAGATGAGAGAAATTAAACTTAGATGGGCTGACCATGTGTGGTGTAGACCCAGTACATCAGTTGTTAGAAGGTGCAAGTTAGTTTAAGTGGAAGGCTAAAAAACGGTAAAGGTACGTCCAAAAGGATATGGTTGTAAGTAGTGAGAAAATATATAGGGACCTATAGTCTCATTGAGGGTACGACCTTTAATAGAGCAAAATGACAGACTGATATTCGTGTAGCCGACCTCAATTAGTTGGGAAAAAGATTTGACAATGATGATGCGTGTAAAGTTGGTGTATTATTTTTTCCTTTTTTTTTTTTTTCTTTTCTCTCTTTTTTCGGGTTAATCACCAAGTGGAGCATATTACAATTTTAAATTCCTAAAAATCACTTGAGAGTGGGAGCTAATGTATAGTATGCTCCTGCAAGCATATAATCTATAAGCATTAAAGTTTCATCCATGTCTAGTTCACTAAATGGCGATGATGCTTTGCCTCGTGGTGTGATATTTTCAAAGCCAAATTAATGTTGAAAAGACGAACATATATGTAATATCATAAACTATTAAGTATTTTCATAATAACAAAAAATAAAACAGATATTCACGTAATTTTCTCAAATATTTTTCCTAATTTTGAGTGCGGCTGATGATACATCTTGTGCTGCATGATTATACATCTAAGAGCTACAGATGATTATAAGATAAATAGTCTTATTATATACTTTTCCTATTTTCAGATGCATTTGCGAATTTGCGAAAAAGATGAGAGCTAAAATAAAAACACAAACCATTCCTCGAATGCATAGAGTCTATAAGATCAAAAGAAGTCACAAGCCAACTTCCCCCAAGATACTCCATTAACTACAATTCATACAACTTCTTTGAGATGTACGTTGATAGCCACCTCCTAGCAGTTCCTCAATTTTCTTATCAGAAACTAACAATGGAATCCTAAAATCTTGGCATATCGCATGGGACACACATACACATTTTTTATATAATATTTAGTAATTTTATTGCTCAAAAGAAGTTACAACATAATTAAGCGAAAGCAAAATCAGAAACTAAAATGGAGGGAAGAGTCACTCCCCTCTTTGCATGAGAATCAACAACCTCCCGAAGGGCATCTCTAACACACACATTGATATGAAATAGAGATTATAAGCCCACAAGGTTATACTGTAGCATAAATCCATTGGAGCTTGTGGTATGGTGGTTTAATGCTTGGATGAAGCCAGCAATCTGTCGCGGAATTGAAAAGTTACAAATTGGATATGGATTTGGATCCAGAATATTTGGATTGCACTAATTTTGGGAGTCAATTTTTATTTTTATTTTTATGTTCATATATCTCGATGTCGAGATGATCAATTATAGAGTTTTTTAACATTAAACAAACTTTTTCAATAGGAAAATAGCCCGGGTTTAATTGGTTAGTGCTTGACAATTTGCAACGCTATGTTCTAGGCTCAACTGCTACCAAAGGTAAGGGTCCTCTCTCCACTAACTCACCCAATGAAAAAAACAACCTGTTTTGATAGAATTTTGAGAAGCATCTTTAATTCTACATTTTAAGGTTGAAACCTTATATACATTTTTCTATATGGGAATGAATAAATATATAAATTATAATATATGTATATATAAATATACATAAAATAATATTTTAAAAAATCGGGTCGGATTTGGATCGGATGCACCTATACTCGGATCCGACATTATTTTCTATTGGATCTAGATTTTGGATCCGAATCCAAATTTCAAATCCAAAACTTAGATCCATACCCGGAACTTGATAGGATCTGAATTTTGGGCTAATGGTGGAAATTTCGACATCATGTGGACATGCGGAAGAAGGGTGTACAAGCACCGTTCTAGTGGTAGAAATTTCAAAAAGTCATATCTAAGGTAATGGCCAAAAATTAGTTTAAGGGTGCTGTTTGTATAGAGCCGAGGCTTTAAACAATCAAAGTAGAGTAGAGCGAACCTTCAAATAAGGGTAAGAAATGTGGTTTCAATACTGAAAAATTTTGTGATAGCCTTAAAATATATCTTTATCTCTAATTATAAATTTTAACGTTTAAAAAATAGTGTAGATCGAGCAAATTTATGAAAACTTGAAAATCTTGAAAGTTGATGGTCAAAAAATGCATTACAAAAAGCACTCCAAAACTTGAAATCCATTTTTTTCACATATACATCCCTCTTTATGTTGAGATGATCAATTTGAGAATATTTGGTCATGAAAACAACCTTGTCTAGTGAAATTTTTGATGTGCGCTCTAATTTGACTGTTTAGAGCCTCGGCTCTATATAAAATTTTTCCGTAATTTAATAGTTTATTTGTTTTCAAAGAGAGAGAGAAAGAGACATTGAGTGGAATATTCTCCTGTGCAGGGCCACTTGGGGTGCGGACAGCGAATTATGCAGAGATCTCTGC